ATAGCAGATCCTCTACTTACAGACCTTCTAACATGTTTAACCCCTTAAAGTAGGATAAAATTAACTCCTTACATTCTTTCATAAAATACTGAAAACCCAATGAGTGTTACTGTTAAATTCAAGGTCCTCCCCAGCCCCCTTCCCAGTTCTTCTGATTTTTGCCTGGTTATTCTACAAGACTGCAGAATGATCCCCTCAAAGCAACATAAACTCTAAGGCCAGGAATCAGATGCTTGGGAAATTATGAGTTGATTACCATAACAAGAAAAAGCAAACTATTGAGCCATGAACTCAAGCCCAAAAAGGATATTTTTGAATGTGAATATATATTTTATCTATCCAATGTTAAGTAACTGGATTAAAAAATCATTTATCACAAGCTGGGTGCCAGTGGCTCACGCCTGTAATCCTAGCTATTCAGGAGGCTGAGATCTGAAGATCGCAGTTCAAAGCCAGCCCAGGCAGGAAAAATCCGTGAGACTCTTATCTTCAATAAAAACCACTAGAAAACCTGAAGTAGCGCTGTGACTCAAGCGGAAGAGCGCTTGCCTTGAACAAAGAGCACAAGCACAGCGCCCAAGCCCCACGACTGACCAAAAAAAAAAAAAAAAAAAATCATTTCTCGCTGGGCACTGGTGGTCACACCTATAATCTAGCTAGCTACTCAGGAGGCTGAGATCTGAGAATCTCAGTTTAAAAACAGCCTGGGGGGCTGGGAAGGTGGCTCAGTGGTAGAGTGCTTGCCTTGCATTTATGAGGCCCTGCACCACATAAGCAGAAAAAGCTGGAAGTGGGGCTGAGGCTCAAGTAGTAGAGGGCTAGCCTTGAGCTGAAGAGCTGAGGGACAGCGCCCAGGCCCAGAGTTCAGCACTCACCACTGACAAAAATTTAAAAAAATAAAAATAAATAATAACAGTCCTTTGGGGGCTGGGAAGGTGGCTCAGTGGTAGAGCGCTTGCCTTGCATGCATGAGGCCCTGGGTTCAATTCCTCAAGTACCACAAAAGCAAAAAGAAAAAAGCTGGAAGTGGCGCTGTGGCTCAAGTGGTGAGCGCTCACCTTAAGCTGAAGAGCTGAGGGACAGTGCCCAGGCCCAGAGTTCAGGCCTCATGACCCACAAAAAAAAAAGGGAAACTAAGCTGAGCAACTTTGTCAAAATTCATTGCCTTCTGTTGGTGACTCACACGGATTGATAATCCTAGGTACTTAGGAAGCTGAGATCTAAGGATTGTGGTTTGAGGCCAGCCTGGACCACAATGTCTGAGACTATTCAGAAAAAGCAGGAGGTGGCGCTGTGGCTCAAGAGGTAAGAGTTTTACCTTTGAACAAATGAAGCTCAAAGATAGCACCCAGGCAGAGATTAAGCCCCAGGATGGGGGGGGGGGGGGGGAGGGATCACTGGCCTTCCTTGTACAACACATTTGCTACTATCTTTCGAGCAACTCTTCCACTTTCAGCCAAAATGTTATTGAGAGGGGAAAGAAGGAGTAACAAGTTTAACAAGAAATGTACTTACTGCCTTATTTATGCAACTGTAACCCCTCAGTACATCACCTTGACATAAAAACGAAAGGGGAGCAATCACTGTGGGGGGCACTTCTCAGGGGTGACTCCTCGTCCCCAGCGGCTTCGGGGCTCACACCGGTGCCAGTGGTGCTGTCACAGGGGCACCCCAGGTAGCTTCCGCCCGCGACCCAAAGGAACTCTTGCACATCATGTTGTTTTTAATAACCTGGCAGTAAGTAATTCAAACACGTGGACGGGACTGCCTTCAGCAACAGGCTCCGAGGCAAGGCTGGAGTGGTCTCCGCGGGGGCCGAGGGCGGCAGCGGGTCGCGGGCAGAAGAGGGGGCGGCGGGCCCTCAGAGGACGGGGCGCGGCTGCTGGGTCATGAGCACCTTGAAGCGTCTCTTGACGGTGATGCGGTGTCTCGAGTACTTGTCATCCGGGGAGAAGCGGGCGGGGTGCGCCGAGCAGGTCTGCTGTCCCGCGGGGTCGAACTTCTGCTCCGGAGGAGGGGACGACCTCAGTCCGGGTGGCTGGGGGGGATCGGGGTCCCGGGGAGGACGGACGGCGGGGTCCCGGGGAGGGCTGGCGGCGGGGTCCCGGGGACGGCGGGGTCCCGGGGAGGGCGGGGTCCCGGGGACGGCGGGGTGGGCCCCGCGTCGGCCCCGCATCCCACCAGACCACCCCGAGGTCTGCGTGGCCCCCCACCCCCTCGCCCCGGGCCGGGCCTCACCTTCAGCGTGTAGACCCGGTCGCCCTCGTCGTTGAGGTAATACTGGAGAAACATGGCTGCACTCAGGTGGGAGCGATGAAGGCCGCGGCGCCGAGCGCGCTACAGCGCCCGCCCGAGACCGTGCGGCCGGCTTCCTTCCGGTACGGACCGCAGATGCCCCGGGGCACGCCGGGAAATGTAGTCCGGGCCGCCTCCTGTCCAGATGGCCAGCAGGGGGCGCCGCGTGCGGGCCGTGGCCGGAGGCCCCCGCCGCGACCTCGCACCCCTGCAGGAGCCCCGACGTGGGGCCTGGGTGCGGGGCTCTGCCGCGCGG